CTCCCAGCTGAGAGGCTGGGAGACTGTGGGCTGGGGCCAGGGTGGGCGTGGGGCAAGGCCCCCCTGGCCCAGCCCAAGCCCTATGCAGAGGGTAGTGCTAAGGATAGCACCTTCCTGTTGGCACCAGTGAGGGCTTCCAGGAAGAACACGTGTCTTCGTCGCTCTCTCAGGTCCAGCCCCCAGGCCACCCCACCAGCTTCAATGGGGAAGGGGTAGAAGGGCCCGAGCGCCCTGAGGTGGCCCGCAGGGACAGTGCCCCAGCCGAAAGCCGGCTGGCCAAGAGTGACGTGCCCATCCAGCTGCTCAGCGCCACCAACCAGATCCAGAGGCAGGCAGCGGTACAGCAGCAGATCCCCACCAAGCTGGCCGCCTCCTCTAAGGGCGGCAAGGACAAGGGCAGCAAGAGCCGGGCCTCCCAGCGCAGTGAGAGCTCAGGTGAGCTTGCAGCTCCGGGTGGGGTGAGTGGGGCGGGTGATCTCTGGGAGGCAGGTGACCTCCGATGCCTGCCCAGCGCCTCAGCCTGGCCTGGGAGGTTTGTGACACCAGAACAGCTCCTAGTGCGTGAACAGCAACGGACCCCAGGACACCCTTCTTCGGAGATGCTGGGAAGAAACCGAGGGCATGGCTGGCAACACAGCTGAGCCCCCATGCCCCACCAGAAGGGCAAGCATTTTCATCTCAAGAAGCACAATTGACATGACAAACCCCAGGTCCTTTTCCCCCTTCAGTCCTCAGAGTGAAATGGGCAAGGGAGTCTCCTGTCTGCTCAGAAAGAAGGGGTCCAGGAGGCCCTTGTGGAGGGGTCACCAGAGGCCAGACATCAGAGTGCCTTACTCACTCTGGGATGACACTGTGACTGACACTGCCACCTCCCGTCAGCCCCACCTGGTGCCAGTCTGGGTGCCGGGGCCCTGCCCAGTGTCCTTGCACTGAGGGGTGCTGGGCCCTTCCTCAGAGCACTCTGCGCAAGTGGCGTTTCCCTGTGAAGCTCCAGGGGCCCTTGGGTGCTGGGAGTGTGCAGGTGCTGGGAAGAGGCCCTCCCTGCGATACTCACGCACAGGGCCTGTGTCCAGCATGACGGGGTCCAGAGGCTGGCTCTCTCCAGGGACTTCCTGGGGTTGACTGGGGGCTATTCTCTGTGTCTTTGTCGCTGCATTTGGGCTTACGACCTCAGTGGGGCTCAGACAGGCGCTGCGGGAAATGCTCAGGAATGGGGTGAGCTGTGGGCGGTGGCCGGGTGCTGTGAGCCTGGAGCGAGGTCACGCACCCCAGGCTGAGCCCTCTTCCCTCTGCCAGCCTCGTTTGACCTGAAGCAGCAGCTGCTCTTCAGCAAGCTCATGGGCAAGGACGAGAGTGCCTCTCGGGGCCACCGCTCACTGAGCCCTGTCCAGCTTGGAAGCCACAACTCTGCAGCCCACACAGGTGAGCCCAGCCACCCGGGCAGCAGGGCGGCCCACCGTGCCAGGGGTGCTGACGCCCCGTACTCCTGTCTTCCAGACTTGTCCTCCCAGGCCCTGAGCCCAGCACCAGTCGACAGGTCCCCTGAGCGCTTCTCCTTCTCACCCACGCCACTGCCTCTCACACCTGGCAGCAAGGAAGACGGCAGCAAGGAAGACGGCAGCAAGGAAGACGTCATCTTCTTCTAGGGGGTGTGGCTCTGGGTGCAGAGCCCTCCCTGTCCTGTCCCCACCCCACTGTACTCTCTGGCGGGTTGCCATCTGTCTGTCCCTCCTCACTGCCTATCACACCACCACGGATGCCAGGCCTGGCCCTGGGCTCAGGGTCAGGGGCCACTTGTCTGCAGGCTCTTTCTGCAGATCAGCAGTGGTGCCTGGGTGACTTTCTGAACCTCTGTATGCATAAGAGAACATGCAGTAATGGGAGGTTGGGCCAGAGCTGACCCAAGGAGCTGGTTTAGACCCTAGCACCCACTTTTGGAGGGGGAGAGGACGCCAGAGGAGCGACAGACAGATGGGTGGTTCACACAGAGCCTGATAGACCCTGAGGAGGGGCGGGGCAGTGTCAGCTGTGCCCCTGGCAGAACTAGGGCGGAGATTGCACGTGTCCGTGGGGAACCATAGGCCAGGGCATGGGTAAGACAAGGGCTGCACAGAGCCCAACAGGGACAGAGGGCCACAGGGCAGAGTGGCTGGAAAGGGTGGCCAATGGCACTCAAGGTGAGTTCTTTTAGGGTCAGACACTCATTCTGAGAGGGTCTGGCTGTAATTCATCTTGATTTGGTGAAGGTTTTTAAAACCTGTCAAACTCAGTGCTTCCCCGAGGCACCTCGCCCAAGGCAGTGAGGCGCTCCAGGCACTCAGCCTGTGGGGGCTGGGGCTGCGCACACCCGGAAGCCCCGCCCCAGGCACAAGGTCTCCAACCCAACGCGGGCTGGTGTTCCCAGGGCCTCTAGGAGGAAGCCCCCAGGGCTGCAACCAGTGCCCATGCGCAGAAGCCACTGCGACAGAGCAGCAGGTGGGGCTGCCGAGGGGGGAGACACTGGAGAGATCACACCTGTCCTGGAGACCTCACGTGGACGGGTGGCCACCTCCCATCCAGCACGCTGTTGGCCAGCTACCCCTGGAGGAAGCCGGGGTGCCAGTCCAGCCTCAGGGCTGTGTCAGGGCGGTACCAGTGTCTGAGGGTAGAGATTGGGTCTGGCCTACGTTCCACTTCTGGCCAAACTAGCTCAGGTGCTGGCACAGGAAAGGAGACGTCACAGCCTTTTCTGCACTCCTGCCCCCTCCACTGGGCCTGGAGCTGCCCGGGAGCAACAGCACCACCAGGTCACAGTGACATGGCCAGTCAGGGACAAGGAACTGAAAGCTGAAGTTGGCAGTGGTTCTCAGCACAGCCCCCACGGCCCCTTGGAGAACCTCCCCCCCGGCAGACTTTGCCTTGGGGCCAGCAGCGTCAGCAAGAAGAGTCCTCCTGCCCCTGACACTGCCAGCACTGTCCTATGCCATGTCTGTGCTGTGTTTGTGTGTTTGTACTGAGGCCAACCAGCACTTTAGAAAATCCAGCTTCACATCCTGCCCTTCTGTGAAGAGAACGTTCCTGGGCCTCATAGAGCCAGGGTTCCAGTTCCTGGGAGAGTGAGTCCAAGGATTCCTCACGGGCACGTGGCAGGAAGGGGCATGCCCTGCCTCAGCCAAGGGCTGTACAGTTGTGCCACTTGGCGGGACAGGCCCAGGTCACCTGTGAGGGCCATGGCCAAGGTGGCATGTGGGGTCTGCACAGCCCCAGGGACTGTGATGGCGACTGCGGCATTTCCTCAGGCCGGATGTCTCAGAGCCGCCTTAGAACTGAAGACCCAATTCTAGCAATAAAAGTGTCTTAAGATGAGCTGACAAGAGAGGTGCTGCTTTGGTGTTTGCTGTAGGATCTGACTGAGCATCACTGCCATGTTGGCAGGGGTCCCCAGGGCACACCTCCCCAGGCAGGGCCCCTAGGACCATCTGCTGCAGCAGGAACTCAGAGGCCTGGACACCAGGCCCAGAGCCTTGAGGGAGCCTGGGAACCGGGGTGTGGTGCCACCTCAAGGCTGCCTGTCAGCACTCCTGCCCCAAAGCTGGGATGGAGAATGCAGGTGGCGGAGACAGGCCTCAGCACCAACCATCTGTGCCGAGGGAGGGGTCTGCAGGGCCACTTGGGGCTTGGGCCCATCAGCCTGCTCTGCCACCTGCCCAGGGGTCTCTAGGTGACTGTCTTGTCTGGCCATTCAAAGCTAGAGGCAGAAACCCCAGGGGAAGCAGCCCCCAATCAAGTTCAGCTTTGGGGAATGTCACTGAGCCCTCCCACTCAGGTGGGGCCCCTCTTGCCTAGGCCTGTCCCTGTGGTCCTAGAATGTTTTCTCTGCTCCCTGAGCCAAGTTTGCTACACAGGCTCCTTCTAGGACCAGTCACCCCACTTCCACCCCTGGGACCTGGCTCTGTCCAGCCCACTGGGCTGCCAGCCCAACCTGTGTACCGCACACCCGGGTGCTCACATGGCCTCCCCACAACCATGGCCATGCCACACGGGCAGGCATCTCCCTGAGTCCCCAGGCGGGCGGGCAGGCGCTGCTCGGACACCCTCTTCCATTTCACTGGTGTGTCCTGTGCTGGACACGCCACTGTGCCGTTTCCACAGCTTAGAAGGGAAGGCCGGCCCAGGTGGGCTGGTGCCCTAGTCCAGAGGGAGCTTGGCCCAAGGGCAGGGTGGGCTTTCTCCTGCACCCATGTGTCCGGGTGGCCCTCCACCCCCGCTGCTCCTAGCCACCCGCCCGCCCTATTGGAGAACTGGCTGGCTAGCTGCAGACAGAGGTCTCATCAGGTCTTCCAGGCTCTTGGGGACAGGAGGTTGCACCCAGTCCCCTTCCCCGCTGGGACCAGGGAGTGGAGGATCCAAGGACATGTCAAGATCAGGCACACATGGGCCACCACCCTCTATGAACGTCACTCGCAGGCAGCAGCCTGCGTGACTGGAAACCAGGGCACCCACCACCGCCGCCGCCCTGAGGTGGAGATACTGGCCTGCACTGTTTGGCCCCAGCTGGGAACCCATGGCATGCTCAGGCTGGCCCTGAGTGGACAGAGGCCCTCCTCCAAGCTATAGCTAAGTGTCCACTGCTTCAGCCACGGCAGGCATCTCAGGACGCCCAGGAGGGAAAGGGTGTGGTGTGGGCTGGGCCTGGCAGGCTGCAGCTCCGGCATTGCATGGGTTTGGGTGCAGGTGACTGCAGGAGAGTGGCCGGTCCTTATGGGAGAGGGCTGCTCAGGAGCAGCAGGCTGTGCTGGCGGAGTCTGATAGGACCCACCAGCCGGAGGTGGCTCAGGAGGTGTGTGTGCCCACTGGCTACCACACCCAGAGGTGGCCCCTGCACACCCTCCCTCAAATAAGGCACAGGTGCCCCCCAGCAGGGGGAGGAGGCACAGAAGTGAGCAGACCTGGGGATGGAGGGGGCCAGAAGCTGCTTTTAGGAGAGGACCCACCAGCCCCAACACCACACTGTCAACTCATTCCCATTTTGGTCCTGGTTCCCTGCTTGTCTTTATTTGAATGCAGGATGCAGGGATGGAAGTGAGGCTCTGCTGAGGCCCACTGTGGCCTTATCCCCTGCGTGGGAGCCCCGGGGTCCTCTGCTCTGGCCCTGAGACACACCTCCACAAAAGGCCAGGCCTGGGTGGAAAGGACCAGGCCCCTAGCACCTGAGGGACCTCACCTTTGGCCCACATCCTGCCCCACTGTGGGCATGTGCCCCAGGGCCGCTCCCTGTTTTCTGGGCAGCATCTCCCCACACCTGACCTTGATTTGCTCAGTTACAGACTCAGCCCCAGCCCAGGTGATTGCTCTGTGGGAAGGGCCCCTCCATTGGGGTTCCAGCTGTGTCCACAAGTCCCCGGGCCATGTCAGGAGGTAGCGGGGTCAGCCCAGCCACTGGCCTGGATGGCCTGGTACACGCTGAGGAGGGAGGAGATGGTGCCCAGGAGGCCCACCAGCCATGTGGGGAAGCGGCCTGCCCACAGGATGCCTGGGGGCAGCCAGTGCACGGCATTGGCCAGGTCAGCCAGGTTGCTCAGGATGGTCAGCAGTTCAGACTGCATCTGGGCCCGCATGGCCCTCCGCTGGCTCCGGGGCAGCTGGCTGTGGGTTCAAAGAGGAGTCCTTCAGGGATAGTGCCCATGTTCTCCGTAATGGGCAGGGGAGAAGTGACCACACACCCTGCCTGTGAGCCAGGAGGAGGCCCCATCACCCCCTAGAGGGAGCCTGGGCCCGCAAGGAGTCCTGAATCCACACCTGTCCTCCCGACCTCCCAGAACCAGGTAGGGGGTGGGCGTGGGGTGTTGGGCAGATTCCAGGCATAGCTCTTTCCCTGCTAGGACAGTGAACAGTGGTTGTGGTCCTCTGCTGGGCACACAACTAGGCAGACTCAGCCTGCAGTCCTGGCTCTGCCGTCTCCTGCTGACGGGGCCTCAAGCAAGCCTCCTTTTCCCGTGTGTAAGAGTCCTGCTATCCTCTGGAGGCTGCCGGGAGGCTGGTGACCCACCACATCCCAGCCTGGGCCCTGTGCAGCTGTGGGGCTGATAATTGCTGGCGACTCAGCACCCCCTCCCAGGGCTGGGAAACCCCCTGGGCCTGGGGGAGGGAAAGTCAGCCTTTCTCCTGGATGAAATACCTGATGAAGGCCAGTGTGGGGCTCCTCAGCCGCTGTCTCAGCTTCAGGACCATCCACAGGGACCTGGAACACCCAACAAGAGTGGGAGCCCGCCCTGCCAGAGCAGCCAGTGGAGCAGGGTGGGGGCGCGGGGGTTCAGTCCCCAGCACTAGCCCCAAGTGAGGCTCTGCGCCTGCCTCCTGCCAAGGCAGCCACAAGTTACCCATGACCATGCTGAGCTCTGCAGTAAGTGGCCCCAGACAACCTGCCTGTGATGAGTCTGACACACTTCTGGACTCCAAGGGCTCCTGGACCCTACAGCTTACCCACCCAGGCCACTGTGCCTGGCCCCTGCACACTGCAGCCTGGGCGGGGGGGCAGGAGGATGAGCAGACATGACCAGTCCTGCCAGTTGGAGGGCTGACTCCAACCAGACCTCAGGACTGGGAGGGCCAGGGTCTGGTCACATTTCCCCAGCAACCATGAGCCCATCCAGATGCCATGTCCCCAGAGTATGGGACCCAGGGCAGCACCTGCATTGAGGTAAGTGGATCTGCATCAGAGCCACCTGGGGCACTGAGGCAAAACCCGGGGTCTGGGTCCTAGGTCCCCAAACCAGTGGCATTAGGACCTCTGGGCCCTGGACTCCAGGTACCTGCATTTCGACGACCTCCCAGGGAACTCGTTGGCACCAGAGGCCTGGAGGACGCAGGGCCACGAGAAGCATGCAGGCTCCACACGCCCACACCCCCATGGACAGCACAGAGAGCCGCACTCTCTGAAGATAAGCAGTCATAGGGCAGGCACAGCCGGTGACACCACCCCATGTGATCACCACCCCATGGAGGCAGTGGCCGGTATGCATCACACTACGTTTGTCCAAACCCACCAGACATGTGAAAGAGCGGCCTCAAACGCAGCCCATGGACTTGCGGTGATGCTGACGCGACCATGTGAGCTCTCTGACCACAACAAAGCCTTGCTCTCAGGTCGCACTGACAGCCCATGCATGGGGCGGGGTACACACGTGGGGTGGGGGGCAGGGGCGAGCTCTCCTCCAGCTCAGTCTTGCTGTGAGGCTACAACAGCTCTAAAATAAAGTCTGTTTTCTAAAACGGACGGGATCAAGACTGCCCCTGCTACAGGAATGGCGGCTCTCCTGCCACCAGAGGTCACAAGGACCCCTGGGAGCTGCAGCCTCGGGAGTATCCAGCCCAGGCCCCAGTTAGAGTCCCCAAGGATATCAAAAGGTCAGCAGACACAGTGACCGTGACCACCAGGGGAGGTCAAACCGAGAAGAAGCCCTGTCCGTGAAACGAGACCAGAGCAAGTAGCAAGGGGTCCTCATAGTGTGAGGTCACAGGCTGGAAGAGTTGTCAGAGTATAAACAGAGGGGATCTCTGGCTTGTAGGTGATCTGAATTTCCACTTTGGGTGTGTTCATTTTCCAGACTGTCTGTGATGAGCATGCCCATATCATCAGGACATCTGTAACAGGGAAAGCAAGGACTACTGAATGTCACTGTCTAGCCCAGGGACAAGGGACAGCAGGAGTGGGCACTGCCCACCTCCACCTCTACCCCACCCCACAGTCAGGGGTCACCCACCTCCCTTCAGAGACTCAAGGGAATTTCACTTTATGAAATTCTGCCACCGGAGGCCCTTCACCCCTGTGCTTTCTGGGGCAAGGGACTCTGAACTAACCCACTCAGCGAACTTGCAGAGAGGAAAACGTTTGGGAGGAAACCATCAGTTTAAAGTTCTAGACACCTTACAGTTTGGGAAGCATACAGCCAGCCGGGAAGCTCTTGGCTGCTTTATCTGGGCTTTTTGCCGACAATGCAAGCAGGACTCAGAGGCCCAGGGTGACAGCCAGACGCTTCTGTGTGGCCACCAAGGTACTGCTTCCTGGGCCCAGCGGGCAGTCACAGCCCCCAGGGTGCCCATATCCTACTCCCCAGGCCCTGTGAGTGTGTTCCCTTATGTGGCAAAAAGGACTCTGCAGGTGAGACTGAGTTAAGGGTCTTGAGACGGGAGATAACCCAGGTGGGCCCAGTGTCATTACAAGGGTCCTCGTGGGAGAGAGGCAGGAGGGTCAGGGTCAGAGGAGGAGATGTCACAGAGGCAGGGGCTGGAGTGATGTGCTTCAAAGACAGAGGACAGGGCCCCGAGCTCGATATGGGAAGGAACCCCAGAAGCTGGAAAAGACAGCACATGCTGTCCCCTGGAGCCTCCGGAAGGGCCGCAGCCCTGCCCACACCTCGACAGCTGCCCAGTGCATCAAGTTTGGACTTCGACCTTTAGACTGTGAGATAATCAGTCTGTGTCATTTAAAGCAAAGAGTGTGGCGACATGATAGAGTCACCTACAGGGAGGTAGCCACACAGGAGGAAAAGCAGGGATGGCAAAAACCCACCCAACTGCAGCCTGTCCGTCCACAGGACCAAGAGACCGCACTGCACCCTTCCGGCCTGCAGGGGGCTGCCACAGGGCTCACCTGGCAATCCCCAGCAGCAGGGAGAGGCCCCAGAAGGCGGTGCTCAGCACCCACCACCGAGCAGAGTCCACAGGGAGTATCTTGGTGTCAGCGGCCCAAGCGATGTGCTCGCAGGGGTAGTACAGCTGGTCGGCTAGGTTACCCAGGACAGATAAGCAGCGAACCAAGACGTCTTCCTCCTACAGGACCAGGAAAGACAGGGTGATGCACCTGGGGGCAGACCCACCCACTGCCCACATTAGGGACCCAGGCTATGACAAAAAAAAAAAACTTAAATTTGTTTAAGTTTCCAGATAATTCATGCATACCACAACTTGGGACACCCTGCCTCAGAGTCTTGCTGACCTGCCACAGGCTTCCAGGTCCCACCCAGGGGTCTCCAGGCCAGGCCCTCTGGTGAAGGACCAAGAGACGGCAGGGCAGGCTGCCTGCAGAGCAGCCCAACAGGGCAGAGCTGAGCCGAGTGGAAACACCAGCTGCATGGATCACCCCCCCCCCCCCCCCGCAAAGCAGAAGCGGGTGGTCACCACCCTGGCAAACAGGCAAACTGAGGTGCTGGGGGCGAGTGCCACCTGCCCTGTTGAACAACAGAACCCCCACCCGCCAACCCTAAGTTCTGAACCACACCCCCTGCACCCAGCCAAGCAGGCCCAATGGAAGCTGCAGAAACCTGATCCCTGGGGCTGCTATCCCCACCCACCCCCTCAGGGCCAAGCCCCTCCAGGCCTTCTTCAATCAGGCGCAGCCCCAGAACTGTGCAGGGAGAAGATACTCATCAGGGCAGGGAGACCAAGACACAGAAACACAGGATCAACAAAAGGGGCTCTTGTTCTGGTCAAGAGGTATACAAAGAGCAGGCCCCCGATCCCTTGCCTGGGACTCAGGGGAGTCCTCGAAGAGGAGACGTTTGGGGTGGGGGCCCTGCAAGGATGCACGAAAAGTATGCCCTGACCAAGTAAGAGGATAGGAGGTGGGTGTCAAACCAGGAGGAAGGTCCAGGTAAACACCTGGATTTTGGATGATCAGGCAGGCCATGGGCACTGAGGGGAAACAGGCACCTGAGCATCCAGTGGCTCAGAGAGGGTACCCCTGGGAGGGCAGTGTCCCCTTGGGAGACAAATTTGCCCCCCTAAAAGGAGCACAGATGTACTGGCACTCCTGTGGAGTGAGGCAGTACTGCTTTCCCCACAAATATTATAAACAGCTTACATGTCTGACAGCGGGGGGCTGGCGGAACCAATCGCTGCAGTGCTACGAGCACACAGCAGTGCTACAAGCCTGACCATTGAGAGGGAGGGACTGTTTTGGACTGACATGGACTGTCTCTAAGTTATACTGTTGAGTGAAAAAAGCAAGTGGCCAGAGAGTGTCAGTGGCGCAACTATTTACATTTAAAAAATGTATTTGCCGTGAGGGTACACAGGATTGTTCAGGAAGGAAACGCAGGAAGCTGATGACAGTGGCTGCCTCTGAGGAGGAAAACTGGGGGCTGGGGAATCATTATATTTTTAATAATATAGTCTTTAAGAATGTGTGAACATATTAGTTTTAAAAAAAATAAGTTAAGAACGTCTTATTACAAAAAAGAAAGTAAAATTGAAAGAATACACTCTGGCTGGTGTGGCTCAGTGGACTGAGCGCTGTCCTGCAGGCCAAAAGGTTGCTGGTTCCATTCCCAGTCAAGACACATGCCTGGGTTTCGGGCTGGGTCGCCCAGTAGGGGGCGCTCAAGAGGCAACCAGGCAACCTATCGATGTTTCTCTTGTACATCAATGTTTCTCTTTCTCTCTCCCATCCCCTCTCTCTAAAAAGAAATAATAAAATATTTTTCAAACAAGAAACTGTTCACACTGTGGCTGGCAGACAAGCCCCTACAGCCCAGTGCCCCGTTACCTTGGCCCCCAGGCCATACTGCGTGGTGCATGCGAACATGGCCAGGTCATCGAAGAGCCGAAGGATGGTCCTACAGTGGCTGAACTGGGAGGACAGTACCAGCAGGCGCGTCCCCACTTCTGACCTGGCCGGACAGTATCCCACCAGAACCCCACCAACCAGCTGGCTGCAGTACCCCAGGGTCCGGATCTGTGGGAAAGCAAAAACCGTTAGCATGGCCAGCTCCTGGACTGGCCCTGACCACCTGCCTGGGCGTGGGCCCAGGGGGCGAGCAGGCAGAAGAGTCTAAATCAACAAGATTTTAATAAAAGCTTTAACTGTAAAAAGAAACATGTAGGACAAATGGAAAAATATGGTGTCATTGTCCAGAAGGCACTGTGGACACTCTAATGAAGTGCTGGCACTCATCATGGAGGGGCACAGACTCTGGAGACAGATGTGATGGAGATGTGAAAAGGAAACCCCATTTCCCACCTCCTGAGTCCTCTTCCCGGCTGGCAAGAGGACCAGACAGCAATGTATATTTGCATCTACCAGGCTGGACCAACACCCACCACTGGTTGGGAAGTGCGGACATGATCCAGCTTCAGTCCAGTGGACAAACGATCATTCGCTTAAATAATTTTAGTGAGAAGGAACCCGCTCATTGGGTGATTTCAGTATTGTGAACTGGGTCAACTTCACTACCCTTCTATCTTAATTTCCTCTCCTTTTCAGAAATTGCTTTTTCCTGTTTTTTTTTTAATTTTCTTTTTTCTTCATACTGTTTTCACTTGTGAATCCTGTTCTGCCCCTTTGGAACAGCAAAACACTGCGATTTAAATGTCCAATTTGGCAACTCGGCGGGGGTGGGATGTTAAAACCAGAATGCCTAGGTTGGAACCTAACTGCCCAGCCAGCAGTACATACCCTGATATAAACTAAATGGCTGTGTTAGAGACTGGTTAGGAGGAGCTGAGAGTCCATCTTGCATGGAACCACCTAAATACCCAGCCAGAGGGGATGTGGTCAGAAAATAAACATCCGAATATAAGGGGAACACCTGCAAAACCCTATTTTGTTCAACATAACCCAGGGACCAACTACAGTGGCCTAGTCAGACCCCGAGTGCCCACACCTGGGGATCTGGACGGCATGTAAATGTCCAGCCAGGCTGTTGTTGGGGACAACATATATGCCCAACTAAAGGGGATTTGGTTGCAACCTAAACGTCCAGCCATAAGGTGTGGCCCGCATCATCCTAAATCCTCATGAGACTGTTTGGGACAACCCAGTGCCCTATTTCAGGATCCCGAAAGTCCAAACGTGAAAGCCTGGTTGTTGCCACTGTGAATGCTGGCCGGCACAACCTGAATGTCCACCACTAGGGGACCAGGCTGGAGCCAGCTTGGCCGGGACCTCTGCCATGGGGGAGCCTGAGCGACCCCAACCCCTCTCTGGCCTTGGTTTCCCGGTCTCTGAGCTTTGGCCCGATTCCGGGGCCTCGGGCGGCGCTCAGCCCCAGCCTCACCAGACGGTCCCGGCCTCGGTACGACTCCAGCGCCGCAGCCAGGCCGGTCAGCCCCACCATGGCAACTTCGCTGTGACGTCACCGCGCCGCGCAGGGGGCGGGCCTGACATGAGGCCCCGCCCCTGTGACGTTCTGCGCAGGGCGGTGGCCATCCTTTGCCCCCCGCCCCGCGGTTTCTTTGTCTGCTGCAGGTACGACGCGCGCGTCCGCAGTCTTGTGCACCCGGACAGCCCTGGGAAACCGCTGCCTTCTGCCCGTGGGAGAGCGCCCGTGACGGCGCCGCCGCAGCTTCTGTTTTCAGTAAACCACCCATAAAGTTAACCAACCCCTAACTACCCACACAAAAAAGTAAATTAATTAAAAAATATATACATATTCCAAGCAAAATCACCAACTGTTCGGATTCAAGGAGAGGTTTTTGTTTATTTTTAATTTCTGTTTATTAATTTTAGAGAGGGGAAGGGAGAAAAACATCGACTTGTTCCACTTGCTTACGCATTCATTGGTTACTTCTTATATGTGCCCTGACCAGAGATTGAACCCACAACCTTGGCGTTCGGGGAGGACCCTGGAACCAACTGAGTACCCCGCCAGGGCGGAGACAGATTTCTTTTTAATTTCTGTTTCACCCTTTTTGCATCTTCTGCTTCTGTATAGTGAACATATGTGGCTGTTGTAATATATAAGGCATTTTTATTTTTTATTTTTTTATTTTTTTATTTTTTAAAGATTTTATATTTTATTTTTAGAGAGAGGGGAAAGGAAGGAGAAAGATGATGAGAAACATCAATGTGTGGTTGCCTCCCGTGCGCCCCCCACTGGGGACCTGGTCCACAACCCAGGTATGAGCCCTCTTTGCTTCGCAGGCCCTTTGCTTTGCAGGCCCATGCTCAATCCACTGAGCTATACCAGCCAGGACATAAGGCATTTTTAGAAAGTTGAGGAAGTGCACAGACCCCTAGAACAGACAAAACCCGGTCATGGAGTCACTGCAGAGAGGGTAACTGCTGCTGAGAAGGAAATCAAATTTTCACATTTGTAGCACGTTGTAGCTTTTGAATTTTGTGCAATATACATGTATGGTCTCGTCAAAAAGTCAAATAAGTTTTTTTTAAGTTAACACGACCTGTTTACTTTTTAAAAAATTGTGGTAAAATTCACTATTTTTAAATGTACAATTCAGGAGCACTTACTATATTCATGGGTTGTGAATCACTCCTTTCTAACTTCAAAGCATTGTCATCACCCTCAAAGGAGCCCCTGTCACTCAAGCAGTCACTCTTATTCTTCCCTCCCCCAGCTCCTGGAGACCGCCATCCAGGGTCCATCATCAGGTTTGCCTGTTCTGGGCATTCCGCATAAATGGAGTCATGCAGCCATGAACACTTGTGTCAGGCTCCTCTCACTGAGCCGCGTTTTTGAGGTACAGTCACATCGGAGCTTGTCTCAGTCAGTACTTCACTCCTCTCCAGACTGAGTGATCTCCCGTCATGTGGATGCACCACGTTTTGCTTATTCCTTGGCTTATGGACGTCATTTCCAGTTTTGGGCAGGTGTGGATAATGCTGTGGTGAACAGGAGTGTGTATGTGTGAGTTCTTCCTTTCACCTCCTTCAGGTGGAGACCTAAGAGTGGAATTACTAGATCGTGTGGCAACTGTGGGTTTGACTTTTTGAGGAAAAGTCAAAAGGCAGTTTTCCAGAGTGGCTGTACCATTTTACATTCCCACCAATAATGTACAAAATTCTCTCCATTCTTGCCAACACTTATATTTTGCTTTTGAAAAATTATTATAGTCATCCTACTGGGTGTGAGGTGGTATTTCACTGTAGTTGTGTTTTGCCTTTTCCTAATAACTAATGACGTTGACTGGTTGCCTATTGCAAAACATCTCTTCTTGATCTCAACTTCTGTTACTCTACTCTTCCTGCCTTGGTCACTCCTTTTCAGTCACTTGCCTTGCTCCTGTTCCTTAAAGATGCAGCACATCCTGCCCCAGGACCTTTGCATTTGCTGTTCCCTCTGCCTGGAACATTGTCCCTCCAGATAGACACTTGGTTCCCTCTCTCACCTCATCCTCATATTTACCCAAACGTCATCTTCTCATGGGGCCTCCCCATCACACCGGAGGAGCACTTGCTACCCGCATTTCCTGCTCTTACTGTTCTCTTAGCTTCTAACACTACCCAATGCCACCGTTAATTTTGCAGCTTGATCTCATCTAGTTGCTTGTCTTTTCTCAACAAAACATGAACCACACCAGGGTAGGGATTTTTATCTGTCATGGTCACAGCTATAGGTCTATACACAGCCTGGCACGAAGCAGGTTCTCAGTAAGTGTCACTGCCTGCAGGGCTCGGCTCCTGCTCCACCCACACTGTCCTGGGAGATGGTGTCCACTCCCACAACTTCCCTAGCCACCTCTTCACTGGCCTCTCCCCATCTCTCACCAACTCTGACCTGTCTCCTGCCCCCACGTGCCCCCTGGACATTCCCCCACACTCAGCAAGTCCTAGACTGACTTCAGCATCAACCCCAAACACCTTGCTCTCCCATGTCCCTACCACAGGTCTGTCCCACAGCCAGCCAGCCACCCAGCCATAGAAGACCTGGACATCATGCTCACCTCTTTCCCTCCATATACACTCCGCCTATATCCCAACAGTCACCAAACTATCCCTGGGATCCTTTCAGTTCTTCCCAGCCCATAGCCCCCTCCTCAGAAAACCCCTAATCTCTCCTATCTGGGCCCCTATCCCCTGCCACCCCAAGCCTGCCTTCCACATAACATCCCAGGAGACTCTTTAATCCCCACCTCCAACTGCAGCCCTCCTTGATTAAGACTAGGGTGCAGGGGTTGTGTACCTCCACCCCTCAACTGGGGACACTGTTCCTGACTAGAAAAAAAACCTAAGCCAAGCTCTTGGCCTGTTGAGGGAAGAGGAACTCAGGCTGTAGAGCCTGCATGAGCAGCCGGGTCCCTTTTCTGGAGCCTGCACAAGCAGCCGGGTCCCTTTTCTGGAGCCCGCACTGTCCCTGGCCACCCTGTAACAGCCTACTGTGTGCCAGGCCCTGCTCTAGGCACCAAGGGCACAGCAGTGAACCTCGCAGGCACTGCCCAGCCCCCCAGCGTCCTTCACTGCCTAGTTAGAGCTGAATTTGACCTTTGAGAAAGAGATAGGAGCTGGTCAGGTGTTCACAGCTGGCCTTGCTGAGAGCTGGCCTGGCAATCACAGCAAGGCCTTGGGGTTCTCCTACCAGACAGAAATGATTTCACAGAATGCTACCCTCCGACAAGGCCACTCAGTGACTGGGGTAGAACAAGACAAAACAAGCCCACTCTCAGTTTGAGCACAGGCAGAATGTGTGCCTGTGCAAACCGGAGCAGCAGCCAGACATTCACTCTTTCCGGCTGCTCCGAGTCCCTGCTGCCCCTTTACCCGCACAGCTCCAGTCCCAATTCACTCCTTGCATTGCAGGATGAAAAACAAGACGTTCGGTAAAAGAGTTACTTCTCTCCCATGCTTCCTGCAGCACCCAGGATGCAATTCAGGGATCTGACCTCCCCTCCCCCAGCAGGCAGCAGGACCACACTGAACTGCATCCTGTCTTTGCATCAGCCTGGCAGGCCGAAGCCCTTGGTGGGCTCAGGGCTGGGGAGCAGGTGGTGGGGCTGTGGCTCAATGGACAAAACAACAACTCGCTTAAATTCAGTGAAACAGGGCCCCCTCATAAGTAGCTCCTGGAGGCCCAATACTCAGTACACGGTGACGGACAGCAAAACTGTGTCATGGCCATTGAACTTGCTCAAAGACTGGATCTTGTTCCCAAAATAGAAGAGATGGTGATGACCTGATGCCACAGAGGAATCAGCTGGAATGGCAATCATAATGCAGTGGAAATGCGTCAGATAACTAGGTTGTAAACTGTAAACTTCCATCATGCATGTCAATTGTGTCTCAATTGAAAACAAGAACGAACCCATTCAGCAGGCAATCGGGGTTTCACGGGTGGAGACAGGTCGACTACCTGTTTACATCTTCACTGCATGTTTGTCTTCTTTCTCTTTAAAAAATGTTTTATTGTGGTAAAACATACATACAATATACAAAACACGCCGTTTTCATCATCTTGAAGTGGCAGCAGAGCATTCACGCTGCCAGGCCTTCATCCCGCCATTCACCTCCAGAACTTGCCTGCCACCCAGGGTGAGCCCGAGTCTGATGAGTCCCTTTACACCCCCCGAGATGCCTGCAGTTCCCCATGGAGTGTGGGCTTCCCAGCTGCAGTGAGCGACGAGCCCGGATGTGTTCCTCCACAGCAATCTCTGAGAGATCGCCCATCTTGTGTGGGGACGTTCATGGAGCTGAAGAGGAGGGACACCCGGGAGCATGGCAGCAACAGACACTGGCAGCCCATGGCATCAGACACTTTTGGCCGCTTTCCAAAGCCATCCATCGCCACTCCCAGCCCTGTTTTCTAGATGACAAAATGGAGGCTTCAAGAAGCCAAATCACTTGGAAGGCTCCTGAGACCCCAGGAGGCAGGATTTTCTGGCCTTGCTCCCTGCTTTCCTCCCAGTTGCCCCCAGAGTTGCTGGGGGACCATTGTGACAGCATTGTCTGGGGAAGCTCTTTGAGTCACAATGGACAGGGCTGGCCTGCCCCCACAGGCAGCTTTGGAAAGAGCATGTCAGCACCTTCTGGGAGACTGGGGACAGGGGGACAGGGTCTTGAGGGTCAGCGCCGTGCCTGCCAAGGGCATTTTTGCAGACTCGTTAGTTCCCATGCCTGGGCTCGAGGTACGTACCCTATCTTCTCAATCCCTGATGAGGAAACTGAAGGTCACAGGAGCCCAAGGTGACCTGGCTAGTAATTTCAACAGTCAGATTCTTCCCTAAGCCACTTGACATCTTCTCAACTTCAACTATTTTAGGTGGCAAAATGATGATTTTTAAAAATATTTTATTTACTTTTAGAGCGGGGGAGGGGAGGGAGAAAGAGAGGGAGAGAAATGTCATTGTGTGGTTGCCTTTTTCACACCCCCTACTGGGGACCTGGCCCGCAACCCAGGCATGTGCCCTAACTGGGAATTGAACCAGTGACCCTTTGGTTCACAGTCTGGTGCTCAGTCCACTGAGCCACACCAGCCAGGGCAAAATGATGATTTTTAAAAAAGAGCAACAAACTTAGACATGGAAAAACTGTGGTTTTGTTCAAATCCTTGATGCATGTTTTCTAAAGAGGACAGCATGAGCAAGTAGCTGTGAAAGAGCTTCCTGCAGGAAGTGAGCCTGAGCAGGGGTTGTGCCTGGCACGGGGCGGGGGGCCTGGTCTCCCAGGAGCAAGGCGACCAAGGGGGAGACACCTCTGCTCCGAGGAAGGCAAGGACGTCCCAGTCGACTAAACAGGATACTGGGAGCCTGGAGCTGAAGGTCAGAGAAGCGAGTGGAGGTATGTGAACCACTGACAGCCTGGGGTCAGGCAGGTGTGCAGGGGAATAGTGCCAGGACGGCTTCAGAGGGCAGGAACACTAGCCAGGAGGGGTGTGGCAGAGACGGGACACAGCCAGAGAGAGAGAGAGGAGTGGGTTCCCAGACCCGGAGTGGGGAGCCCTGGCCTTAATGACTGGCTGAGGGCAAGGAGATCAGACCCACTGAGGAAGGCCAGCGTTGACTCTGTGGCTCTCCTCGCTGCCCACTCTGTGCCGGCCTCAGGGCCCACAACTGCGCTCTGTCCCAGGGGCGCTGTTCTCCGCCCTCGGCAGGTCTGTGCTCAGCTCTTCCTTTTTGAAACTGCAACCCTCCCACCTTGAACCTCGCCCTCCTGCCCTGGGTGGCTTTTGTTCCCACAGCCCCTGTCGCCTCCTATTTATGCTGCAACTGACGTTTTCACATTGTTATATATTATATAATATATTATATTCATTTATTCACCATAATTATGTAATTATATGATATAAAATCATGTTGTAATGTACTACATTATGTACTTTTTTATAGTATAGTATATTATTACAGTCTGTCACCTCCCTGCCCCCTTATCACCTCCACAAGGTCAGTACTCTTGGTCCGTTTGTTAACTGATGGGCCCCTTTCTGTGGACCTGCTCCCAGCCAACCAGGCAGCAAAACTGTCAAAGAAATGACTACTCCTGCCTGACTTTCCCTGGGGGCAGAACCAGGGCTGCGCCTGATTCTCACCCTGTCCTCAACGCCAAGCCCAGTGCCTGGCACACAAGGAGTAACGGACAGCATGATCCTGGCAGGCCCTTGCTCAGTCCCGCATCCCCAACTCCTCACAGGTGGCGGTGTCTGGCAATGGCCACGGACGCCTCACTGCCGAGCCCGAGGGCCCAGCTGCACTTCCTTAAGGCCTCACACTTCGATCTGGGGCCGGACCCGCAGCTACACGTGGGCGCCACGGATTCCACGACACACCGGGACTTCCCGGCACACACGGACGTCCCGCGCGCTCAGCCGTGTCCACCGCCGCCCCGAGCGACCCTCTTCCAGCAAGACGCTCGCTGGGCCAGGGAGGAGTTAGTGTCTGAGGCGCACTGTGCCTTTGGGTCGCTGCCCACGCAGTCGAGGGAGCGGGAGCGGGCGCAGGGGGCGCGTTCATTCATCACGCAGACTAGCCACCTGCACCTGCAACAGGACGCGCACGGACGCGCCCTTTTATCTACCGCGCGCGCTGACTACGGTTGGCCAGAGCTTCAGGGGCGCGACAGCGAGCAGAGCCCAGGCGCGCGCCTCATCTTCCACCGGGATTCGATGCCATCCGGTGACCGAGACAAGTTGCGCATTCCGTCAACGACTTATCAAGAGCTCTTCCCTCCCTACGAAGCGTGCCCGCAGCCACGCGCATCCTGCGAGCACTTCGGTGAGCTCTGCCCTGGCTCCCTGCGTTATTTGCTCAACCCAGAGGCTCTCAAAGCGGTCGGGGACTCTGTGCCCTCCTCCAGGGGACATTTGGCAACGTCTGGAGATAGTTTTGGTTGTCATAACTGGGTGAGCGGGTGCTAATGGCGGAAAGTGGATAGAGGCCTGGGTTGCTGCTAAACACACTACCACAGGCATTGGACAAGCCACCCTCAATAGTTATCCAGCACCAAAGGTCAATAGCTCAAGGCAGAGAAACCCTGGAACCTCCTTGAGCCTCCCTTTTTGCATCTATAGAATGGGCATAACCCCTGAAATCCTCTCTGGGGCTGTGCGAAGGGCAGAAGTCGTGAATGCTGGTTTGGGGTTGGACAAATCTGCCACTAGTCCCACCCCTGCCCCAGCCCTGCTGTCTTAGTAGTGAGGAACTGAGCAGTTGACCTCTGATGAGGGGAGTGAGTGCGGTGACAAGGCCCCACTTCCCGGGAACAGGGAAGCAGAGAGCCCGGAGGTCATGGTGCACCTGGCGTGGAGTGAGCGCTCAGTGAAGAGTGGACATCATTTGTGATTTTCTGTGATTCCAGGGGAACTGCTGGCCAGCGTCATGAGTCAGAGTTCCCCAGCCTGGGTCCAGAGACTGATTGTCAGACCTGGATCTGACTCAGTTCTGGTTCTGAATTTCTGAGATCTGTAGCCTCTCTGAGCGTCAGGGAGGCTGTGAAGTGGAGGACAGGGATGATGCCTGTCCCGAAAATGAGGTGCAAAGCACTTAACTTAGATACCTGGCTCAATACTCGGTAGTTATTCTTGTTACTGCTATAGTTTTCATTTTTGGTATTTGCCAGACAGCCCCAGGCTAGACTAGTCAGGGCTGCCCAGGTCCCCTTCCCAGACGAGGAATCTGAATTTCAGGGGGCCAGAGGCCACAGGGAATTAATCCCATTTTCTCTCATCCTGCCCATCCTCAGGGGGCCCCACACCCCTCAAGTGGGACAACAGGAGATGGGATGACAGGACCTCCTATCAGAGTCAGTTCCAGGCCATGACGGGCCCACCTGCCTTGATGTGTAAGAGGGTAAATCAAGGCTGCTAGTGCTGCTGGGGAGGGCAGTCATGGGGCTGGGTGGCCTTGACCTTCCCATCCCTGTCCACTCACAGGACTCCTCCATTGTGGCACTGGGAGACTTCAAGATGGGCTATGGGCCCCTGTGTTCAGAGCAGAAAGAAGCCTACAGGCCCCAGAGTCTGCCCCCAGACAGGTACAAAGAGACCATGACCTTCCACCACCAAGACAAGGTGAAGGGCTCTCGGCAGCATGTGTGAGGTGCCACCTAAGGCCAAGACAATTCTGTGCTTCCATCACCTGCCGCAAGGCCCGCTGTCGCGTGAAATCTCCCTGCATTAGCACCACATGCTTGGCTACTGGGAAGCCTGCCCCCCGCCCTTTTCCTGGGAGTTTTGAGGACCCAGACCAGATGGATCCCCCCTCATATGCAGGTATGACAAGACCCGGGCCTGGGCCCACACCCACTATGTGAGTATCAACCCTGGAGATGGCTGCTTCCATGACAGGACCGCGGAGGCTGAGCATGCCTGTGCCCAGGAACCAGGTGAGAGCCCGCCAGCTGTCCTGCCCCTTGCTGCCACGGCAGCCGCCTAGAGCTGCTCAGTGCCTCCTCTGCCCCTGGCGGAGCCTTTTGTTCTTCACCATGACCGGACTCCAAAGTCACACATCCTGGAAGGAAATTGGTGCCGGGGCCCAGGCAGCCTCACCACCTCCATGAGCTTCTTCTATGGCCAGGTCAGTTGGAAGTGGGGGTGGAGGCAGGGTTCATCAGGGAAGAGGACTTCCCAGGTAGAGTGAATAGAACATGCAAAGGCCCTGAGGCAGAAGTAAGCTTGACATGTGTACGCTGATCTCCTGGAGGGAAAGGTAAGTCCCTTAAGGACCCCGAGCTTCCGTGACCCTGTCTTTAAATGAGAGCATAGCAACTCAATGCCATCAAATAGGGCCCAGAGAAGGTGTGACCTGTCCAAAGTCACACAGTGCCCAGATCTTCCCTCCAACCTCGCCTTGGGACATCTCGGACACGGGAGCTTCCTAAATGCCATGTGGTCCTATAGCCGCCACCGGCAACCAACCCACGTAGCCGCCACGTGCCTCACGAGAAATTGCAGAGCCACGTGACCCTGGGGGAGTCGAAGCTGCTCCGACAGTTCTTCCAGACCTCCATGGGCACGGACTATTACCCCTGTGCCATACAACTGCTGCAGAAAGCGCGGAACCTCCACTTACTTCCAAGCAACCTGCCAGAGGACACCAGTGGTAAGGGAGGCCCCGTTCACACAGAAAGCCCCGCCCCTGCCACAGCTATGGCCCCGCCCTTTCCAGGGTCTGGCTCCACCTCCTGTAGGACTACATCCCACCCTATCGACCAAGATCCCAACTCTGCCTTTAGACAACCCCGCCCCCTCGTGGTCATGATCCCTGCCCCTTGGACTGCCCACGGTAGCGAACCGAGTCTACCACAGCCCCGCGCCTTTCCTGTGTCACACTCTGCCTGGGTTCCCTGACTCAGGAGTCAACCCAGCCTGGTCCCACCCCCAAGACTAATATGGATTTGCCCCGCCCCTCCTGTCTCCTCCCTCCTCCTGGCCTCCCAACTGAACTTCAGCACCTGCCCAGGCTTCCCCCTGAACCCGACCCCATTCTTAACCCTCCACGTCCTTGCCCTCTGGGGTCTGCCTCTCCTCCCTCGACCTCTCAGTTCAGCCGCCACATGTCCAAACCTCCAGAGCCAGATTTTTTAACCATGAACCAGAAGATGCTGAAACCACACAGGGTAGCTCCGGCCTGCGCGACTGAGGAGATGCTACAGCGGGTGAGGGAGGGGTGGGTCACTTCCCTGACCGGGAAACCCCCAGATCAGTGTAGAGTTATCTCAGGATGCTTCTACTGTCACTTGAGACTCTGAATTAGTGCAAGTCTGCACAGGGTCACTCTCGAGTCAACCCAAGCTCAAGGTCATCATAACTGCCACCCCAGCCTCAAGACCATTCCAAGCTCATCAACAGGGTCATGCCAGGATCATCAGCTCAGGGACACCTTTGTATTACCAGCACATTTAAAAACCAAGCCAAGAGTTGGCTCAGGGTCTCCCAGAGTCACCCTAGTCCTTGGGGTCATTCCAGCCCCTCCTCTGGTTTCTCATCCAGCTACCGGGTCAGCCCAGACTGCCGCCCCTTTTGCCTACCTCCCCACTGAGTTTTGATGTTCCTAGGATGGTGCAGGTACCAGAGGGTGGCCCAGGTGGGTCAGCCACCATCCAGGCTGCCCCACCAGGCTACCCACCTGACTCCACAGTGCAAGTATAGCCACGTGGAGCCACCACTGGGCAGACAGCGCTTCTTCTCAACCCAACACGAGGATGACTTCACCTTCAAGTACCAAGGCCCAGCAGTGCTGAGGTCGGGCAGCTTCCAGGAGAGCCATGTGCCCCTGGGCTCCCCGCGCCGGTGGGGCTGTGGGGGTGGGAAGATGAGCCTTCGGGACCCCTGGGTTCCTACCTACCTGTACCCTCGACAGCAATAAACCCCATCTTGGCAACATCCCACCCCTCTCCACCAGTCAGCCACGAAAAAGGATGCTTGGACGAGTGGGGCTGCACAGGAGAGAAGGACCCCATCAGAGACCCTGGAGGCTGCCCCACTCTGGGCAAGGAGGTCACTCGAACTCGTGCAAACACATGGCAGCCAGAGCCAGTGTCAGGTGTTCAGGTGCCAGGACAGTGTCTGAATGGTGTGGGGAGGCAGTGAGGTGAGACACTGAGGGTGCAGGCTGTGGGGCTAAGCACACAGAATCCAAATCCTGAGTCCTCCACACCCCAGACAGCAGCCTTGGGTGAGTCACAAAGCCCTCTAGCCTTGGTTTGCTTACAATGAAGACAAACAGCAGCTCTCTCACTGAATGTTGTACATGAGAAGTGGACACACGTCACCCTGTAGCTGGGGGTCAAGCAGGGGGAGAGCTGACCTTCTGAAGATGGTCAGGAGGGAAGAGGAAGATGAAGGTGTGAGGAGAGTGCCGTCATTAAGGGACTGAGTAGGCCCCAACTGGCATGTCTCAGAGGTTGGGCATTCTCCCGCAAAGCCAAAGGTCACTGGTTCAATTCCCAGTCAGGGAACATGCCTGGGTTATGGGCCTGGTCCACAGGAGGGCACATGCGAAAGGCAATGGATTGATATTTCTCTCACATGTTGAGGTTTCTCTACCTTCCCTGTCTCTAAAATAAAAGATTGTATTATTTATTTTTAGAGAGGGAAAGGGAAGGAGAAAGAGAGGGAGAGAGACATCCATGTGGTTGCCTCCCACGCACCTCTCACTAGGAACCTGGCCTGCAAGCCAGGCAGGTGCCCTGACTGGGAAGTGAACTGGCGAACCTTCAGTTCGAGGGCTGGCACTCAGTTCACTGAGCCACACCAGCCTGGGCAGAATCTTCAAGAACAGAGAGACTGGGTGGGACTCACAGGGGCTTGAGAGGGGCGACATGCTGAGAACTGTCAGCGGTCTCTTCTGTTGCGGAGCCTGGGGAATGAGTGCCGCGCTGACTGGCTGGGCGACGGTCCCCACATCAGGACTGACGACATCCACCAGGACACGATGAGGTTCAAGGGGACAGGTGTCCCAACAGCAACAATATGAAAAGGGTGGAAAAGTGGAGGATGGAGTGGGACCCTGAAGCCCTCGGGTAACCCAGTTAGCAAGCACGTAAAGGACCAGTACCTTGGATAGCACCTGACCTTTAAGGTCTGGGGTGCGGGGAGAACACCAGGAAGCAGGTTCCATGTGGGATAAGATGGGTCTCGATGGCCATACCCAGGGCCTGCCTCTGTAGGCTGTTGAGAATCAGTTTCAAAAAACGAATATGACTCCCTGACTCGATAGTCAAATCTTCCAAAGGCCTTTGCCTCCCAGTCCCATGGGCCACTAAAAGCCAACCCCAAGCCTGGCCAGGAGCCTTTCCCCATGGGCAGCAATTCTGGGAGGCTAGACTGTCATTTCCATGGAAAGAATAGGAGTTCGGCTTTTAGTCCTACAGGGACAAGAGGGCCTTTCCGGCTCCACTCCTGCATCCATGCTGACCACAAGAGGGTCACCAGCTGCAGAGCACCTCTTCTGCATGCCCCACTAAAGCTCTTCACAGTCCTCTTCTAAATCACTGCATGGTGACCCAGGGCTCCTCAATCTCAGCGCTCTCTACTGACATTTTGGTTGAGATTGTTCTTTGTTGTCGGAGGCCATGTTGTGCTTTGCAGGATGTTTAGCATCATCCATGACCTTCAACCATTACATGCCATTAATACCCTTCCTCTCCTCCACCCAGCTGTGACACCCAAAAAAATCTCCAGATATTGCTACATGTGCCTGGGGAGGGGGGATTGCCCTGGTGGGGAACCACTGCAACGAAACCATCCTACGAGGATTCCCAGGACAAAACCGGGTGTTCCTGATGAAGCTGGTCTGCTTATTGACCATATTACTCAAAAGGCTTTTCCTTTTTGCCTTGCCTGCAAGAAAGCTCAGAAAGCTGGCTTTGGTATTCGGTTCTGCGCAGTTCCAGTTGCAGGAATATCTGTGCTCCTGCCAGGTTCTAGTCATGGTTTAAAGCAACCCAGACACCAGGTGAGAAAAAAATGGGTAGGAGTTACAAAAAGACAGATTTCAGCAAAACTTGAAGCATTTTCTAATAGTGAAACTGACCAGCCCCAGGATGGTTGCCAGGGAGGAGAGAAGCCATACTGGAACTATTTAACCAGTATGGAAAGGCACAGCATCATGATTCTGAATATTCTTTATGTCCATCCCTCCTATGTCCCACTCCCCTTCTAAAAAAAGGCATTTTCTGTGAAATACAAAAACCAAAAAGGCTTATGAAATAAGACAAATAGGATTGAATATTAAAGGAAAACAACTTTGGTGATGTAAGAATCGCCCAGCAGCAGAATCCAGAGCTGCCACTTACCTGTATCTCCGCCCTTGAACAAGTGACCGTGTGCTAGCTCTCATGTCCCTCCTCAGTGAAAGGGGTGGCCACAGCCCTTCAGGCTCAGAGCAGTGACAAGGGTTAAGTGCAGTGAGCATGAATGTGCTCAGGCTGGTGCCTAGCACTGGGCTGCAGCTCAGTAAGTGGTGCCTAAACTTTGTTAATGTCATGGTCATTTTTGTTGCAAGTGACAGAAACCCAACTTTTGCTCAAGAGAAAGAGATTTTACTGACTTAGAACCCACAAAGTCTGCACTTAGGTCTAACACCAGGCATGCTGGTTCCACATCAGGGCTCCTCCTCACTAACGATCCTCCAAAGGGTGTCACCCCAAATCCTTAGAATTGAAGCCCCAAAGGAAAAAGGTGCATCTCCCTGTGCCGACTGTTACTGGAATTTAAGGGACACTCTGGTCCGTTGGAGTCACATGCACTGTACCCAGAGGGACAGGCTGCTGAGATGGGCATTCCAGGTCACACAAAGCTCTTCAAGTCTGGAGCCCAGCCTGGTGGATTCTGTCTCCAGCAACAGACCTGTGTCAGCCCTTCCACTTAAGATGCCTCGCCCCAGGTCACACAGTCTGGAAGGTGGAAAGACATCTAATAGGCTCTTCTCTGTGAAAGTGACTGTTTCCTTTACAGGCAGGGAGTGGTCAGTGTAGGAGAGCGGCCTGGGGCATCAGGGACGCCCCTTTCTCTCACATTCCCGATTTTATCTCCTATCTGATTAGTAACTTCCTCTTTCAACCTGGGGGCAGAGAACTCCGTTCTGGCAGTCTCACAAAACTGAGTCCTGACTAGATGCTAATCTCTGCGTATATTACAACATCCTGATACTTTTTTTCCAAAGCCCCATAAGCCAATCTCAGGAGGCACATGGTTAGAGTCCCAAGATAAAACAAGCAACAATTTAATCAGCTCTTTTCCTTCCACACAACAGAGATGTCCAGTATCCCAAGGAGGACTCTTCTCCAGACCTCCTGGGCAGCTGGTGCACTGCACAAACCCTGGGAGCCCAGTTCGCTTCCCAGTGGGCATGTGCGTGTCCTGGCCCTGGCTCTGGCCCTGCACCTCACTCTGCTCAGCCAGTCTCACATTTCAAGTCGTTTCCTTTAACATACTCCCTTTCCAGGCACTCATTTCTAAAGTCGTCACAACTGCCATGATGCATGGGACAGACACCCAGTGAGAGTAGCTCAAATGCCGAGGAAATTTGTTGGTGCTAATATTGGAAAGAAGGGGGGCTTCTGGCTTCAGTGTGGCTATAGCCAAGAGCTCAGCTGATATAGCCGGAGCCTCCAACTCCCACCTTCACATTCTGGAGCCAACTGACTTTGGCCTGCAGCCTCTCCCTGCAGACAGCTAAGGAGGATGGTTGCAGGCAGCATGGGGCTCTTAGAGAGCTCAGGATCCCAGAAGAAAAATGAGACCGTCGGAAGTCATGCCCCTCCCCCCATTGTTGTAGCCAGGGAACAAGGCTCTCTGATAAGTGTCGGTTGTATGGTACCAGGGTGGGGGGTGGTGCTGTGTTAGATGCAATAGTGGGGCCCACAAAGAGAAAGCGAGGCACTGACAGAGACACTGTGAGACAGAAACGGCAGCGTCCTTATCAGTGTTATTTGCAAGCAGGGTCATCTGGTAGCGGGCAGGATGGAGAACCAGCTGCATGATCCAATGGCAGTCTCGGGGCTCACAGGTCTGCTGCAGGTTTTTCTCAAAGACGCAGAAGGCAGGTCTCAGGCCACAAGTTCAGCACAGATCTAGAAGTTTCAGGAAGAAGAAAGACAGCTCCTAGAGGCCTTTTGCTCACGGCTACATTCAAGGGTAGGTGGTGTCAAAATTCACCAGGCAAAGACCATTAGAAACACACCAGCCAGGAAGGCCACACAGTGAGGGCAGTTCTGTAGCAGAGGGCTGGGGGCTGGAGGGCATCTTACGGGCTGGGGCGTGCATTGGGTGCTGTGGAGTGGAGGCACTTTTCCGTGGGTGCTGTTCAGCTCTAAGTGGGGCTGTCACTGGAAGAAAGCGGCGGTCATTTCAGTTAGTCGGAGGGGGTGTGTTTTGCGGTTGCACAGTGTCCTTGTCTCGGGCTCAGTGCACACATGGCCACAGAGCGGCCTTGTACCATCATCGCTGATGTTGTGACTTGTTTCTGTTCCCTGAAGAGCATCCTGGCCCGGTGGCCAGCTGCAGGCTGGTTTTCACTCCCTCCCGCAGGATCTCTGTCTCCAGGTACTGTGTGCCCAGACTGGGCCAGGCTTCTCCCAGAAATCCTTGCTCCGGGGAGCGTCAGGCTCAGGGGGACAGCAGTGAGTGACCCCCAACTGAGTGGGAAGAGGGAACCACTCAGGGACAGAACCCCTGCCTCTTTGGGGAGTCTTAAAGGGAAGCAAAGAGAAAGACGATTGTGAACTGCAGGGCTTCTCAGATCCTTGACTGTGCCCGTGAGCGCTGCCCGTCTGCGAGAAAGAAGGAGCGCTCCGTGTGTTTTCAACAGAGTCCGAGTCGGAGACGGGAGGGCAGGCGGTGGGAACAGAGGGACAGAGACGGAGACGAAGAAAGTGACAGATGCACAGGCAAACAGATGGTAACAGAGACGCAGAGAGAGGAGCCGAGACAGAGAGACGGGCAGAGAGGGACAGAGCCAGGGACAGAAGCAGGCCGGGGCAGAGACAGGGACCGAGAGGGAGACAGGCAGAGGAGGGGGCCGCACAGGCCGAGCGCGGCGCAGATCAGTGCGCGGCCGCGCAGTCGGGGCCGCCGGGTCGGGACAAAGGCTGGCTTGGGGGGCGGGGGCGGCGACGGTGAAGGCCGCGGCGGGAGCGAGCGAACTACAAGTCCCAGCAGCTCCCGCTGCGGCCCTCGGCCGGCCCCTCTCGCTCCCCGGGAGCGCTTGGCGGGGCCGCTGGGACGAGGGGGCCTCCGGCGGGGCTGGCGGGCGGGGGCCTAGCTGCGGGCCCCTGGGGCGCCAGCGGGTGCGGCGGGCCGGGCAGGGGCGAGGGGCGCCGGGTGAGTGTCCCCGGGAGCGGGTCGGCGGACAAGGACCCGGGTGGGGGTGGGTGGGGAACCCCGGTGCGGGGCGCGGCCCAGGGCGACCTCCGTGCGCCCCCCACCGCGCGCGCCTCCTGCCTGGACCCGGGAGAACCGGGGTGCGGCTCGATGCAAGGGGCCGAAGGTCCCGCGGGCCTAGCGCGCCCAGTCCGCCGCTGCGGCCCCGGGGAGGGCTCAGCCCGAGTGGGGCTCCTTAGATAGGGAAGGATGGGGGGCACCCCTCAGCTGTGGGGTCAGGAGTCCAGGACGCCCCCTCCTCCATAGGCAACCCGGACCTCCAGAGGGGCCTCAGGCATTGTTCTCCCCACCGTGAGCCCGGGGCTGGGAGTTCTGGAGGCTCTTTCCCAAGAGGGGGATCCAGGGCTTCCCTCTTCATGCCAGGATCTCAGTTATTGTTCCTCTTACCGTACAGTCTGGGGCGTCCGAGTTCTGGAAGCCCTTTCCCCAGGAGGGGACCCAAGCATTGTTCGCCCACCCTCCAACCTGGGGTTCTGGGTAGAGGAGGTGATTTAGGAACTTAGCCCCCTCCATTTGCTTACCCACCCCAGCTATGGGTTCTGGCTCAGGGTGTCTTCCTCCCCAGGAGAGTCCCCTGTCCCCAGGAATGGATTTATTTGTTTGCCCCAAATGCCCAGCCATGGGGTGGCTAGCTTAAGGCATCACCTTCCATCAGGTAACCCTGAGCTCCCCCTGCAACCCCCTCCCCACCCCAGCCTGGAATTCAGGATCTTTCCTCTTGACACACTTCCCCATACCCAGCCGGAGGGTCGGTCACTCAGGAATCTCCCCTTTCTAAGAGTTGGCTCAGGGGTCCCCCAGGCACCCAAGAGGGGCCCTGGGTTTTATTTCTGCCCAGCCCCCAGCTAGGGGTTAGAATTCAGTATCTTCTCTCCAACTGGGCAACAGGTGCGCTGACTACATCCTGACTGTGGGGTCTGTGGGTCCTCCTGCCTCAGCTCCCGCCTGCTGTTCCCTGCCTCCCACTCTGACATTTGGAACCGACATTCTGGAACACAGGTGTTCTGACAGTTACTCCCATCCTGGAACTGTGAGGCCTGGCATTCAGGTGGTCTCTTTCCCAGGAGGCAAGCCAGGGACCCAAGAGCACTACCGGATGTGATTCAATCCCCACCCTCACCCCTCAGATATAGGCTTCTAAGTTCAGGATGCTTTCTCTGTAGGAATCAAGCCAGAGAGCCCCCTCCCTACCAGGAACTCCCGAATATCCCACACCTGAGTTGGGGACAGGAATTCAGGCCATGCACTTAGAGGCAAGTACAGGAACCCGACACCCACCCTCTTCCCCACGATGGGTAGGAACGCAGGACTCTCTCTCCACAGGACCCAAGCTTCCTGCAAGAGGAGGATTCCAGGATGGAGAGAGGGGCAGAGCCCTGGAGTTGGGTACTGGAGACCTCTAGTGCCAGATCCCATGACTTCCATCCAGGTGTGGGGCTGAGAAGGGAGGGCCCCTGCCCCAGGTCCCAGCAGGGTCTCTCTTCTCGCTGCCCTGGCCAGAGCGAGTGACAGGTCTCCCTATGGTCTGAGACAAGAGAAGGGTCCATGTACTTTTTCAGGAGTGGGTGCTGGGGCACAGGTTGGCCACCTGTCTCATCCCTGCCTGGGCTCCAAAGGAGACCCCTGCTCCCCAGAGCCTACCTCTGCCCACCCTGTCCTCACCCCGCAGATCCTGCCCCAGAAGCGGCTGGTACTTCCACACCTGGGATGCGGCGCTCAGTCCTGGTCAGGAACCCAGGCCACAAAGGCCGGAGACCCACTTACGAAGAACTAGACTCAGACTCAGAAGACCTGGACCCCAAACCCGAGGAGCCGGACCTCAACGCTGTCTCTGAGGACGCGGACCCCAGCCATGAAGGTCTGGAGCCCATCTCCAGCAACCTGGACCCAAGTGCAGAGGCTCCAGGCTCCATCTTGGGGACCCGTGCCATGGATCCCCAAGATCTCGACCCAATGTCTTCGAGTTTTGATCTCGATCCAGACGTCATTGGCCCTGTCCCCCTGGTTCTCGACCCTAACAGTGACACCCTCAGCCCCCCAGAAACCCCAGACCTGGACCCCCTCTCTTCCAGCCTCACTGCCACCCCAGAAGGCCTGGCCACCAGCCAGGCAGTGCTCCCTGCACCTGCCAGTCCTCCCCGGCCTTTCTCTTGCCCCGACTGTGGGCGAGCCTTCCGTCGAAGTTCTGGGCTGAGCCAGCACCGCCGCACTCACAGTGGCGAGAAGCCCTACCGCTGCCCCGACTGTGGCAAGTCCTTCAGCCACGGTGCCACGCTGGCCCAGCATCGGGGCATCCACACAGGTGCACGACCCTACCAGTGCGCTGCGTGTGGCAAGGCCTTTGGCTGGCGCTCCACACTGCTGAAGCACCGCAGCAGCCACAGTGGCGAGAAGCCCCACCACTGCCCAGTGTGTGGCAAGGCCTTCGGGCATGGCTCCCTGCTGGCACAGCACCTGCGCACACATGGTGGCCCGAGACCGCACAAGTGTCCGGTGTGCGCCAAGGGCTTCGGGCAGGGCTCTGCGCTGCTGAAGCACCTACGCACGCACACAGGCGAGCGGCCCTACCCGTGCCCGCAGTGTGGCAAGGCCTTCGGGCAGAGCTCTGCGCTGCTGCAGCACCAGCGCACACACACAGCTGAGCGCCCCTACCGCTGTCCCCACTGTGGCAAGGCCTTTGGCCAGAGCTCCAACTTGCAGCATCACCTGCGCATCCACACTGGCGAGCGGCCCTACGCCTGTCCCCACTGCTCTAAGGCCTTTGGGCAGAGCTCGGCGCTGCTGCAGCACCTGCACGTGCATTCCGGAGAGCGCCCCTACCGCTGCCAGCTCTGCGGCAAGGCCTTCGGTCAAGCCTCCAGCCTCACCAAGCACAAACGGGTGCATGAGGGAGCAGCCGCGGCAGCTGCAGCAGCCACAGCCGCTGCTGCTAGTTTGGGCCTCAGTCCTGCTTCAATGTTGCGGCCTGGGCAGGTCTCCCTCCTGGGTTCTGATGCTGTTTCTGTACTTGGCGCTGGTCTGGGCCCTAACCCTGGCTCTGTGCTAGGCTCTCTCTCCAGTCCCAGCCCCAAACCTGGCCCTGGCTCTGGATCTGTCCCCAGCCCTCATCCTGTCAAGTATTCTGACCCTAAACCTGGTCACAATGCGAGTCCTGACCTTGTGGCCAGCCCTGACCATGGATCTGGTCACAGCTCAGACCTAGATCTTGAGCCCAGCCCTGTCCCCAACCCCAAGCCCCACCCTGACCCCAGCTCTCCCACCCATGAGAGTCCAGCCCTCCCTGCCTGTGAAAGTCCTGAGTGGGTGCAGGAACAAGGGGCACTGCTGGGGCCTGATGGCTGAAGGGGACGCCACTACCCATGGAGGCCTGGGGAAGTCGTGTGTTGTGCAGTTAGTAAAACCCTCCCACTGCCTTCCGGCTCTGTCTCATGGTTCTCCTGTTTCTCTGTCTCCCCTGATGCACAGCCCCTTGGGGAATGGGAAGGCGTGGCCTGAGCCAGCCGTACATTCAGAACCCCAGTGCTCTGGCTTCCCCTGACATCCTCCAGACTTCCCAGCTTCCCCCAAACCAGCAGTCACCACTCCGCCCCCCACCCCAGACCTGGTCAGCTTGGTTAGGGGCAGACTGAGCATTGCAGGTGGTCTGAACAGCGTCCCTTCCCTTTGGTTTGTCCGAATGGTGGGATCTACGGTATGTTGAACTTAGTGGGCTGAGAATGGAGGTGGATGTGAAGCCTTGTGGGCAGTCCTGCCCCCTCTGCTCCCCTAACTTACCCCTCGCCCCTCAAAGTCTACATTATAGGTACCCCCACTGGACAAAGGAGGTTGCTCATTTATACATTCAACAAACATCTGTTGAGAGCTCACAGATACAAAATGCGGAGACATCTGACAAGTAATTACAGGATATGGTACATTCTAGCAGAAGTATACAAGACGTCTGATTTCAGTGAAAGACAGCGTTCTGGAGGAAGAACTATAATAATCCCAGTAACTGCTCATTTAATCGTCAGCACTGTTGGCCCAGCCCTCGTGCTATGCTTTTGTGTTTTCTCTTTTTAAAAAAATTTTTTAGCCATGAAAAACTGTTTATTTTTAATTGTTATTCCATTACAGTTGTCCCAATCCCCCCCCTTTGCCCTCCTCCTCCACCCATCTTACCCCCCACTGCATTTTCTCACTTAATTCTTCCAACAGCTCTGTGAAGCAGGCAACCGAGATTGAACATCCCCTCTCTGCGAATGATGACCCTGAGGCACATGGAGTTTAAGGGACTCTGGAAGACAGAGGAATGGCAGCTGGCAGCGCCTAGATTTAAACTTGAATTGTCCAGCCCCCAGATCCTGGGTTCCTAATCATTATGCTCCAGGGCTAGATGGTGTGAAGGCCCTGGGGCCGCTGAGAGCTGAGCTGGGGGTTGGATCAGAGGGCTGTGGTAGATTGCAGCGGGGAGTTTGTCATCCCAGAGAAATGGGAAGTCATTGGCAGGTTCTGGCAAAGGACTGATATGAAATCTTTTTCATTTTTTCCTTTTAACTTGTGTGCATGTATTTTCTTTAGAGAGGGGGAAGGGAGGAAGAGAGAGAGAAACATCAATGAGAGAGAGAAGTAGATTGGTTGCCTCTCGTATGTGCTCCAACTGGGGACCGGACCTACAACCTAGGTATGTGCCCTGATGGGGAATCAAACATGGGACCCTTCACTTTGCAAAACCAACCCATGCCCAACTAACTGAGCCACACCGATCAGGGAAAATTATTCTTTGAAGATGCTTCTGGCTGCTGGATGGAGAGTGCAATGGAAGGGGTCAGGGGTGGAAGTGTAAAGTCAAAGAGGAGCTTGCTACAGTGATCCAGGCCAGGAACGGTGGGGACTCTAGGCTGAGAGCCATAAAAGGGGGGAAGAATGGTCCTATTTGAGATGTAATGACATGAAATAAGATTTGCTGATAGGTCATATGAGAGGAGATACAGAGGGGTTGCGAGTAACCGGGGAATTTCTGGGAGAATGGAGGGAAACAGCCCCAAGAAGGATGTAGAGTCGTCACCGGACCTCGCGGATGTGGAAGCCAAGAGGTTGGCGCTGGACGCGGACGCGCCAGGGCTCTGGTTCTACGCTCAGAGCCCGCCGGTTGCCCAGCACCGTGTCGCCCGTCGGCGCTAGGGCCTCGCGATCACCGCGGCCGGCAAGTCGCCGGAGCCGGCGCGCAGGCTCGTCGCTCTGGCAGGTGTGGTCGTGGCGCCGGGGAATGGACCAGATCCGGTCACGTGCCTCCAAGGGCGCCCCGACCACGTGACCGGGGTGCGAGTCAGCTGATGCCCGAGGGTTTGAAGCGGCACGACGAAGGAGCACGTCCGCCGTGACGGCGGCGGGCGCTGTGGCCCGGGCTGCTCCGCCGCGCGCGCTGGCGTCCGGCGCTCCCCGCCCGGAATGGCAGCCCCCGTGGGCCGGCGCGGCTCAGGTGAGGTCAGGCGCGTCCCTGCGAGTCCCCGAACGTGGGCGGCGGAATGGCGGGCGGCCAGCTGCCCCAACGTGGGGCAGCGGAGCAGCCAGTTTCCCTTCCCCGAGCTCCGGTGCTGGCCTCTGAGCTTTCCCGCGGGGGAGATGTAGTCAGAAGGCTCCCAGATCCTGGGCGGTGGGTGCGCACCAGCTCCTCCGACCTCGGAGCGGCGGGACTCCCAACTGCCCTTCCTCGGTCTAAGCTGTGCTCAGAGTTACTAAACTCTGCAGGCGGGCGGGCTGCCGGCTTCTCCGGCTTCTCCGGCTCTGGGCAGCCAGGTTCCCACTCTGAGCCTGGGTTGGGATTGCTCAGCTTTGCTGCAACTCAGCGGGCACGAGCTTCTCCAGTTCGCACTAGAGCCCCAGGATTTCCTTTCCCAATCCGGGAGGTACATGCTCAGTCAGCTTCTCTAGACCCAGGCCAAGGACTGGGGGTATTCCCTTCTTGAACCTAGGCGACTGACACAATTTCACTTCTCCAAAGCCATGGAAGCTCAGCTTTCCTGAACGCAGGCGTTGGGTACCCAGCCTCCAACCTCTTCAGTGTCCATTTCCCATGGGGGAGCCTGGAGGAACACCCTTGGTGTCTGCCTTCCTTCCTTGAGCTAGCCAGAGACACACGAAGGTGTCTCCCCCTCGTAGGTCCGTGGTGGGTTAGCTATGATCCCAGCTGGGGAGGCAGGCCCACCCTCTGGCCTCCACCCAGCTCTCTTGTAAACAACCACAGAAACATCCAAGCTCCAAAAGGATGTGTCAGGAGGTGGCCCTCCTTGCAGAACAGGCTGGTAAACATCTTGGTGGCGGTGCCAGGCAGGGGACCAGCTGGTCCCTGGAAAGAAGCCAGGTTTTCTCGGTGGCGCTGGTGGGTGTGTGTTAGGGACAGTTTGGGGCTGCTGTGACCAGCTGTGACCCCAGCAGTTGCTGAAACCTTGAACGTTCCTCTTAGGCTGGTCAGATTGAAGGGAACAGGCCTAGAATAACCTCTGTTGACTGAAGAATCACTCTGCTTTGTTTCACTTCATCCTGGAAGCATTTTTCAGGGTTTTGGCCTTAGGGGGAAGACTTTTCTTTTTAACTTCCGCTTTTCAGATGAGGACACTGAGATTTAGAAAGGTGCCTGGGGTCCCCCAAGCAGGAAGTGGCCAGTCTGGGATTTGGTCCTAGGGGTGTGTGACTTTTAGGAGCTGGCAGCCTTAATGCAGGGCCGTATTTGCTCAAACAACAACATGGGCGGTGCTGTCATAACACGTGCGGACTCACAGTGAGTCTTTAGCAAGTGCATTCCCTTATTAGCCTTCCCTTCTCCAGGCCTGTGGCTTTGAGAATATCAGCTGGACAGGCCAGGCCATGATGAGTGGGAAGGGTTTGTCCAGAAAATACTGAGTTCCATGTCCACGCCTGGGGGCTAGAGTTGGATGGGCCAGGGAGCCTGGAGCATCGTGTGAGAAGCCAGCAAAAGCCATTCATTCTCTCTCCACAAATCAGCAACAGGAATGGTGATGGAATGTCCTGCTACTCCTGCCATGTACCTGCCCCTGTGATAAACACTTTGTAAGCATCAAATCCTCCGCTTCCTGTGCGAGATGCTATGGCCCCGTGTTACAGATGAGAAACTGAGGCTCATAGAGGCTGGGTGGCCTGTCCAAGCCAGTGAGCATCAGGCTCAGGAATCAGCTCAGGCCCTTTCGAGTCCCAAACCCGAATTCATACTGCTGTATATATCCATCAGCTGTTGTAGACTTTCAGACTTTCTTAGATCTTCCAGAATTCTTGGCTGGAACATGGGATCTGCCTCCCCTGTTGGGAGGTGAGCCTGTCTGGGCCCGATCACCACTGTGCTCCCCCATTCCCACAGAGACCGAGCACCTCCTGACTCCCAGCCTTGGGTATGGGACCCAGGCAGGGGCTTCTCCAGCCCCTGCAACCTCTCTGGAAGAGGAAGACCTCCGCCGCCGTCTCAAGTACTTCTTCATGAGTCCCTGTGACAAATTTCGAGCCAAGGGTCGCAAGCCCTTTAAGCTGATGCTGCAAGTGGTGAAGATCCTGGTGGTCACAGTGCAGGTGAGGCTGCTGGGGGTCCCCCAAATGCTGCCTGGGGCCGCTGTTTTCCTTGAAGGGGAGTCTGGGAGTTGGAGCCTCATGCTGACCCCACAGCAACCTAGTGGCAGGGACAGTGGCAGTAATAAATCAGAAAACCCTCTGAGCTCTGCCTGTGAGCAGTCCCTTTGAACCTCACGCAGTCCCTCCAAGGCCCTGGCTGCTGTTGTTGCCTCCATTTTATAGATGAGGCTGCCGAGGCCCAGAGAGGTTAATCCTTCCAACAGCTGCATGAAGCAGGCACCTGTGATCGAGTGTCCCCTTTCTGCAGATGATGACACTGAGGTACATAGAGTTCAAAGTGACCCAGCAATCAAGCATTAGGATTTTCTGGCACTTGAACTCTGGCAGCCTGATGCCACGTTGACGCTCAAAGAGAACTGACCCAGTGGCTGGAAAGATCGTCACCCCCCTCCCATGCCAGGCCCTGTGCTGGGGTCTAGTGATCCCAAAATGACTCAGAGCCTGCCCCTGCCCTAGGGTGCCGTGACTCTGGGCATGGAATTGTGCTTCTCATTCCCCCTGGGTAAAGGGACCCAGCAGTGTGGTATTCACCCTGTGTGTTTGGGTTTAGCATGGAAGTCGGCATCTGGTGAACATTTAATGAACATCCATTGCTGCCCCAAGACACATGGGTGCCCGCTGCATGCAATGCATTGGGAACAAACGGCAGGCATGCACAATGGGGACACTTGCCTTCATGGAGTGGGTCCGCTCTCCCCTCTTCCTCCACTGTTCCATGGAGGGAGGCCCCATCCCAGCAGTGCTGACCCCCTGTCCCTCCTGCCAGCTCATCCTGTTTGGGCTCAGCAACCAGGTGGCAGTGACATTCCGAGAGGAGAACACCATTGCCTTTCGCCACCTCTTCCTTCTGGGCTACTCTGATGGGGCGGATGACACCTTTGCAGCCTACACACGGGAGCAGCTCTACCAGGCCATCTTCTACGCCGTGGACCAGGTGTGTGCAGCAGGGCCAGGTGGGCAGGCATTGGGGGAGGAAGAGCGGGCAGAGCCGACGGACTCTCCCCGTTTCTCTGCCTACCCACAGTACCTGATGCTTCCTAATGTGTCGCTGGGCCACTATGCATATGTGCGGGGCGGGGGTGGCCCCTGGGCCAATGGCTCGGCCCTGGCCCTCTGCCAGCGATACTACCACCGTGGCCATGTGGACCCAGCCAATGACTCCTTTGACATCGACCCAATGGTTGTCACTGGTGAGTGGACGAGGCAGGGCTGGGCTGTTGGGGAGCTCCAGTTGCTGGGATTAAAATCCCACCTCTACCCTCACACATCGGGAGATGGGGCTGTCCTAAGTATTACCAGTTTGATGTACGCAGCATGTTTAGAAGAATCCCTGGGTGTGGAGAGAGCCGGGGGTTATGATGTAGTGTCATTAATTCACGAAATGTGTGGGTCTGACAGCTCCAGGCCCTGGGGTCTGTGCAGGGGACAGAGGGACTGGGCCCAACCCTGGAGAGATGCAGGGGAACGAACAACAAATGTTCAAGTGCAAAGTGAATCTGGGCGGGGTCTGTTAGGGACTCTGGGAGACCTGCTCATGCCTCCCCCATCCCGAGCCCCTTCCCTGACTCCGTCTTCAGATTGCATCCGGGTGGACCCCCCTGAGAGACCCCTTGTGCCCCCCAGTGAAGATCTCTCCCTCTTGGACAGCAGCACCAGTTACAAGAACCTCACGCTCAAATTCCACAAGTACTGCCTGATGGAGGGGCTGCCTAGGGCTGAGCAGAGGGAAGGGGAGGAGGAGGCTGAGTGAGCACTTCCCTCTGCCAGCGGCAGAGTCAGTGTGTTGCAGGGGTGTTGGCACCCTAGGGCCTGAGGGAGCTGTGGAGCCCCCTCCCCCTCATTGGAACCCTCCCCCTAGGCTGATCAACGTTACCATCTACTTCCAGTTGAAGACCATCAACCTTCAAAGCTTGATCAACAATGAGATCCCAGACTGCTACACCTTCAGCATCCTGGTCAGCCACAGTGATCTGGGGTGGGGGGGTGGAGGATGGTGCCACAGGACTTCTGAGCCCTAGGGCTGGGGACCCTTGGCCAAGGGCAGTGTGGGGTGAAGGAGGAGCTGGGGCGAACAGACTGTCCCACATGCGGGGCTGGGCGCCTGGGCCCCCAAGGCTCACTCTGCGCCCTGCCGCAGATCACCTTTGACAACAGGGCATACAGTGGGCGCATCCCCATCAGCCTGGAGACCCAAACCCACATCCAGGAGTGTAAGCACCCCAGCGTCTTCGGGCACGGTGAGCCCTCAAACCCCAGACCATTGCTGACCAGGGGTCCCGCACTGTCCAGGGGAGGCCCCCAGCCCCAGAACAGCATCAACCAGGGACTCTGACTGGCGTTGACTGAGCTTCTGACTCAGAGTAACCCATGAGCCACCGACCAGCCCAAACCAGCCCTGTGGCCCCCTTAGCCCAGCCCAGCCCCAGCCCTAGCCCTGGCCTCTACTGGCTCCAAGGTGCCCTGGTTCTACCCAGGGCCCCCTCCCCACAGGAGACAACAGCTTCCGGCTTCTGTTTGATGTGATCGTGATCCTCACCTGCTCCTTCTCCTTCCTGCTGTGTGCCCGCTCCCTGCTCCGAGGCTTCCTGCTGCAGAATGTGAGAGCCACCTCAGTGTCACATGTACCCAAACCGGCCTTGCCCAGTTCCAGGGCCTTATGCAAGGCTCTGGTGCCTGGAGAGGTCCTCACCCTGCCTGCCTCCTGCAGGAGTTTGTGCGGTTCATGTGGCAGCAGCGGGGACGGGCTGTCAGCTTGTGGGAGCGGCTGGAATTTGTCAATGGCTGGTACATCCTGCTGGTCACCAGCGACGTGCTCACCATCTCGGGCACCATCATGAAGATTGGCATTGAAGCCAAGGTGGGGCCTGCCCACACCTGCCCAGGCCCCTTCCAGGCCCTGGTCCCTCTGCTGCCCCCACTGAGGCCTACCTGGCGCCACATTCCCCAGCCAGATGGGGTTGACACTGTTCTTGTCCCTAGAACTTGGCCAGCTACGACGTCTGCAGCATCCTCCTGGGCACCTCAACACTTCTGGTCTGGGTTGGTGTTATCCGCTACCTGACCTTCTTCCATAAGTACAATGTAAGCCTGTGTGTGCAGGCTGGGCCCTCCCTCCAGGTGGTGGCTGCATGTTCCCCAGTTCCCACTCCCAAATTCGTACACATGGGGCAATCACCAGCCCTTGCAGATGACCCGTCACGAGTCTCTTAGCCTGATACCTGCCCACCCCAGATGTATCTGGCCCTGAACCTGGGCAGCCATTCAGCTGAGTCCAGTCACTGGGCGCCCTCAGCCTCAGGCTGCCCCTCCTCCGCTCCCCCAGCTGTGCCCCCAGCCAGGCCCTGCCTGCTGCACCCCATGCTCACTGTGGACCAGGCTGTGGCCAGGCCCTCATCAGCCACCTGCCCACTGCAGATCCTCATCGCCACGCTGCGGGTGGCCCTGCCCAGCGTCATGCGCTTCTGCTGCTGTGTGGCTGTCATCTACCTGGGCTATTGCTTCTGCGGCTGGATCGTGTTGGGGCCCTACCACGTGAAGGTAGGGGCTAGCCAGGGCTGGTGAGGGGTACTCATGACCTACAGGTGAGGGTGCCTGGCTCCCTTCCCCTGAACCTACATCCTAAGTCCTTAGAACCCTGGCTTATCTATCACTGACCTGGCCACACTGAGTGACTCCCAGTACTTTACCAGTAGGTCTGCAGTGGGTCTGCTCACTGACCCTGGCACTGACCTTATGACCTTATTGACATGATGACCCCCAAATGACCACATTGTAACTGCTGATATTCTGCCCACTGTCCCTGACCCCCAGTAACTCTGGTCTTGACCCTATGACCTTGTTATTACACAGCCACCCCCAGGTGGCCCCACTGTAACTACTGGTACTCTGTCTGCTGTCCTCTCTAAGCCCCAGTGCCCCAGCCCAGTCCCCAGCCATGTGCACAGCTACCTCTGTCCCCACAAGCCCACTGACCTGTCTGGCCACAGTTCCGCTCGCTGTCCATGGTGTCGGAGTGCCTCTTCTCGCTCATCAATGGGGATGACATGTTCGTGACGTTTGCAGCGATGCAGGCCCAGCAGGGCCACAGCAGCCTGGTCTGGCTCTTCTCGCAGCTCTATCTCTACTCCTTCATCAGCCTTTTCATCTACATGGTGCTGAGCCTCTTCATCGCGCTCATCACCGGCGCCTATGACACCATCAAGGTCAGCCTCGAAGCCCTTCCAACCTTCCTCCCCATGGGGCCAACCAAATCACACACAGCCCCATCCTGGGCATTGTGCCCCTTGGAGGCCACCACATCAGCATCTCAGGGGACATGGCAAGGCAAGGAGAGAAGGGCCCAGGGAGAGAAAGTGGGAGGAGACTCTGCAAAGCCAAAGGCAGCGGGGGCTTGAAGTTAGAGGGCATGGGCAGACCGATGTCATGAGCACAGCTGCCGAGTTCTTGGTTTAACTGAGGTGGCGCTCGGGCCAGTGAGGGTTCTTGTGTCTGCTTTTACCAATAGGGACATCAGGCCGTAGAGATTCAGTGACTTACCCAAGGTCAGCAACTAGGGAGTGAAGCCAGGCTCAAGCCAGAACTGTGGGTTCAGAAGCCTTGCTCCCAAACCCTCTGGCCTGGGTGGGGGCTGTGTGGGTCCGGGAACCATGGCCGTCCTGCAGGCTGTGGGGATTAAGGAAAGAAAGGGGTTAGAGCAGAGTGTGGTATGGCAGGTAGATAGGATTCTTTTTACCCAACGTGTCAGAGGGACTGTTGTGAGCCGAGTGCTGTTTTGGGCACCAGTCACCTAGGAAACAAGGCAAGGTGTGCATGGCCTGGGTTTTCGCAGAGCTTCGAACTGGGCAAGGTGGTGTGACATATGACGATTGGCTGGTGAGAGGAATGAAGGAAGGAAAGTTTCTAGAACGTGCTTTTTGATACTAGTCTCTAACCACATGGGACTATTTAAGTTTTGATTTTAATTCAAACAAAATACAATTCCAAATTCAGTTCCTCATTCACATTCACATATCAAGTGCCCAGGAAACTATGTGGCTCGTGGCTTCCAGAGAGAACAGCATAGAATTGATCATCTCAGAAAGTTCCAGATTGAAGAGATGAGAGCCCAACTGAGGGAGCAGCAAGGGGAAGGAATAGTGAGAGCAAAGGAATGGTTGCCAGAAAGAAGTTGGGGAAGGGATGGGAGGCTGAAAGCAGCGATGTTCACTCGGAGGGACGGACCAAGAATGAGGCAGGCAGATGTTGGTCAGTCTGAGGAAAGGAGGAGGTAGAGGGGAGGGCAGATCTCAAGAGGCCCCTTCGTGCTGGCCATGCTGCTCTTCCCAGCAGCACCCAGGCGCGGGCACGGAAGAGAGTGAGCTCCAGGCCTACATCGCACAGTGCCAAGACAGCCCCACCTCTGGCAAGTTCCGCCGCGGGAGCGGCTCGACTTGCGGCCTGTGCTGCTGCTGCAGGTTCGAATCCGGGCGGGCTTGGGGCCTGCAGGAAGAGGAGGTGTGGGAGGGAGCTACTGCCTTTCTCCTGGCCAGACACTGTCCCTCTTCCAGGGACGCCTCGGAGGAGCACTCGCTGCTGGTGAATTGATCTGGAGGACGACCACCACTGGACTTTAGCCTCAGGAGCCCGGACTGCGGAGAGCCTTGCCTATTTATTTTTGGGGTTTGCTTTTAAAGACTGGCTTCCTGTAGCACCCTGTAAGGGCGTGGGCCAGGGGGGTGGGCCAAGGGTAGACTGGGTGTTAAATAAAACGGGAAACTAAACGAGTCCACATTTCTAGCGTGAGAGGCGTTCCCTGCGCCTACTGCTCTTCAGCCCCTTTTGTAAGCCTTAGCCACACTCAGCATGGCTGCGTCCTCGCAACCTTCTAAACATGGTAGGGGTGGGGCTTCGGAGCGCCTTGCGTCGAATAACTTAAAGGGGCCACGCTTGCCTCGCTGGGCGGAACTCTAGAGGTGTTGGCACAGAGTGGACCCTGGCAAGCAGCCTCTGGGTGAGTCCAGGTTTCCGTCGCCCCCTTAGGGGCGTTCTTTCGGGGGTCATTAGCGAGTCCTCGGCTTTATCAAGATCTGCACTCTGCTGATATCTGGTACCCTCCCGACTTTCTGATGCCCTCATCCCCTCACCCCCATCCCGGCTGCTTTTTCCTTACTGGTAGCTAGGTGCGCCCTACAGTGGAAGAGGACTAGCCACTCTCATGAAATTTAAAGGGTCCAGTGACTCCTCCAAATTCCCATTAATACTCTAGCAGTCCCAGTCTCCCAGGAAAGTCCCAGTAATATTCCAGCATTCCTCAGCATTTTCCAAGGGGCCCCAGCGCCTTCCCTAGGTCCGCTCTTGTGCTCGAAGACCCTAGGAAGGGGCACACGGCTCCCAGTTTTCCCAGTAATAGTCCCCCACGCCTCAGAATCTCTTGTTTTCCAATGCCCCCAGTCATTCCCGCGTCCCAGGTCACGTCACCCAGCAATGGCGCCAGCACTGTTCCCCCTGTCCCAGTGATACTCCGCGCCATCAGGGACCCTGTAAATTTACTATTAGGTGACAGCAAACCTCCAGTATCAACCGTAACATCTTGGGAGCCCACCCGACTCCGAGCGTCCCAGCCCCTTGTGTGGGAGCTCCCAGCAGTACTCCGGGGCAGGCTTGACCCAGGTGTCAGTCACCTCCTCAACCCCTGAACTGAAGGCTCGAGTTCGCGGGGAGAACAGGGTGCGGCCTGGGCGTCGGTGGGTTAGGGTTCACCCATCCTGTAGGGTAAAGGCCTACGTGGGGGAGCATGTCCCTCTGCAGTCGTGCGCCTGCTGCTGGCAGTGGGTGTCCTGCCGGCAGCTCTTTTGTCCGGGATGGGGCTGGTCGGCCTGGGAAGTCGGTAAAGGGAGTCCGGGGGTCGGGGGAGCCGGGGACCCGCCGCACGCCCCAGCCCGGACCCCGAGGTCAGTATGCCTCACTCCTGTGTCCGCCGCTTCCCTCCCGCTGTTCCCCCGCCCAGGTAGCAGAATGCGAAAGGGCAAGGCTTGGGGCAGGAGAGGGGCGGGCCCAGAATGACGACTTGCCCGGGATCGACTGGGTGGCCTGGGCTCTGTTTATTGATCCCCAGGACTCAGGGCTACTAGACCTGTCGCCCAGCCTGAAACAGCTGATGGAGGCCCCGCTACAGACGGGAATGGTAAAGCACAAAGGTTGTGAGGCGCCGCGGGACTACAACCCCGACGTGCTCAGCGCGTTTCATCGCAGTCCCGCGAGAACTGGGCTGCGTCTGTTCGGGTGGAACTACATTTCCCAGCGTGCACCGCGAAGCCGCCGGGGAGTGTTGCGCGCCCCTCGAGCCCGGGGACTGAGAAACGCTAGTCCACATCTGCAGATGGGGACACACAGGCTAGGGGCGGCAGCGAACGTCTCGAGGGCGGAGGAGGAGAGGAATGGGGTTGGGGAGGGCCTGGCGGGACGGGTATGCGATGCGCAGCCAGTGCCGTTCATCCCACAGGTGCTGGGCGTAATGATCGGGATTGGAGTCGCGGTGTTTGTTACCGCCGTTCTCATCGTCCTGCTCGTGCGGAGGCTTCGAGTGCCGAGTGAGAACCTAGAGGGCCCCTCTGGGGAGGCTTGTTGTGGGAATCTGAAATGCCGGGTCCTGGGGCAGTAGAGATGGGATTTGCCGGGATCTGCACGCAACGTCCCCATCTCTGGCCGCGTGGAGTCTGCGGAGAGCTCAGTGTCCCTCTCCTCTAATCCCCAGAAACTCCAGCCCCAGATGGCCCGCGGTATCGGTTCCGGAAGAGGGACAAAGTGCTTTTCTATGGCCGGAAGATTATGCGAAAGGTGAATGTAGGACCACCTGGGACTCTGGCTGACAACACAGAAGCCCTTCCCATAACCCAGTTATAACTCTTGGGAAACTCCTCGTTGATTAAGGGTTTGTGTATCTGAATACCCTCTTCCCCAGCGTCTGAACAGGCAGTTGACCCATCCTCGCCCTTCCGTATCCTAGGTGTCACAATCCACTTCCTCCCTGGTGGATGCTTCTGTCTGCACCACTTCCCGGCCACGCATGAAGAAGAAACTGAAGATGCTGAACATTGCCAAGAAGTAAGGCTATGCTGAGGATACTTGGCTTTGGGGGCTATCTCATGGACCTTTATTTAGAGTGGTCAGCCTACACTGAAGGGTGTATCTCGAGGTTCTTTCCACCCCATAGACTGTTTGGGGAGACTCCCCACATCAGCGAGGCTGTCTCAGATCCCCCCGCCCGCCCGCAGCAGACAGGGGTTTCTGGGGTCTCTGTCCACTAGGGGCTGTCTCAGTGATTCCCTACCAGTGACATTCTTCCCTGAAGTATCTAAGAGCTGTTTGCTCTTCAGTCAGTGTCTCTGATGCCTTGTCGTACAGTAGGGATCTCTATCTGGGGTGTCAGTATAGGCTATTTCGTGAGTCTTCTCACGCAAAAGATGTCTAATTGGGGTTATCTTAGGTGTTTCTGTGACCAGCTGGAGGGGCTGTCTCTAGCTTCTGTTCTCTTGGGGTTATTTTAGTAGTCTTGCATATCAGGAGCTGTTTCTCTATGTCATCTATCTTGGAGCTCTTCCCATGCTTAGGAGGCCATGTCAGGGATTTCTGTTTTCTAGGGGTCATCTCAAAAGTTTTTTATACTAGAAACATAGGAAGGACATTTCTGGGGTACCTGTCATTGGCAAAGGGCTCCCCCAGAGTCTCTGAGGGAGGCTCTTCCAGGGATCTTCCTAGGTTAAGAGCTGGCTCTGGGGTTTCCTGACATCATGGGGTCCGCTTCATGAGACATTGCAAAAGTCTGTCTCAAGGGCTTTTTTACACTAAGGAGATGTCCCAGGGCTGTCCGTGACCAACAGGTGTCCTGTCTCCTGACTTTTGGGACCCGAGGAGGGCTGTCTCTAGTTCTCCATGATCAGACACTCTGTCATGTGTTTCTTCACATCTCAGTGTGTGCACACCCCTGAGGAGCTACCTTGATGTCAGGACCATCAAGGGCTCCCTCAGGAATCTGGGGCCCGGGGAAGGGCTAGCCCAAGGACCTCCCTGTTTAGAAGAGGAGCTATACCTGGATTTGTCTATACTGTGGAGCTTAACTGGGGGGGCGGTGGCTGCTCACACTAGAGGGTCTATCTCAAGTGCCTCGTGGCCACTGCAGTAACCGACCTGCAGGAATAGCTCTCCCAGGTCCATGAATAGCACGGAAGCTGTATACCTGGCTTCTCCATTAGGCGAGGGCCAGCTCAGGAGTGTCTGGGACCATCCCGGGGGCTGCCTCAGGGTTCTCTGACACCTGGGAGAAAGGGCTATCAGGGATCTAGTATAAAGAACAGTGAGGCTATTTCTGAGGTCTCCTTATATCACGGAAGCTACCCCAGGGTCTGCCTACATTAGAAAGGCTACCTCAGGCATCTGGGCTGTGGCAATTGGAAGGATATGGGGCCCGTTACAAACAAAAGGTTTTTTCTAAGGTCTGCCCGTGTCTTGGAAGCTATGTCAGAGGGTATAACTAGAGGGTCTGTTTCAGGGATCTATGGGTTTTATGTAAGAGGTCAGCAAATTTTTTCCGTATAGGGCCAGATAGTAAGCCCCCTACGCTGTGCAGGCCACACACAACTTTGCTATAACTATTCAGCTCTGCTGTTGTAGTGTGAAAGCAGTGACAGACAACATGTACATGCATGAATATACCTGTGTGCCAATAAAAGTTTATGTACAAAAAAGAAGTGGAGGGCCTGATTTGGCCAGTAGGCCAGATTTGGTGACCCTAGGGAAGGGCTATGTGGGGGTCTGAAGTCTGCCCAAGCCTTCTCCCTGCTCCCACTGTACCTCTCTCCTCCCACCAGGATCCTACGCATCCAGAAAGAGACACCGACGCTGCAGCGGAAAGAGCCTCCGCCCGCGGTGCTCGAGGCTGACCTAACAGAGGGTGACCTGGCCAACTCCCACCTGCCCTCCGAGGTGCTCTACATGCTCAAGAATGTTCGGTCAGTGTCAGGGTGCAGGCTGGGGGCTGCAGAGCTGGGGGCTGGGCTGACCACCTGCATTCCTCCTCCCTTCCCCTACCCAACAGGGTGCTGGGCCACTTCGAGAAGCCACTCTTTCTAGAACTCTGCCGGCACATGATCTTCCAGCGGCTTAGCCAGGGTGACTACGTCTTCCGGCCAGGCCAGCCGGATGCCAGCATCTACGTGGTGCAAGACGGCCTGCTAGAGCTCTGCCTGCCAGGGCCTGTGAGTGGGCTGCCGACAGGGACACTGCAAAGGGGATGGGCACTGGTGCAGGGGCCGCTGGGGACAGGCACTGCTGTTGGTCAGTAGCATTGGTAGTCTTTTGAGGTGTGCAGACAGGAGTCAGGAACAGATGCTCAAGAGTATCTGAGGTGGTTCCAGTTAGTTATGACTAAGAAATGGGTGCTGGTTGGAAGGTTAGGTGGGTCAGAGGTCAGGATATCTGATCACTGGGTGGGTGAATGGGAGGGACAGTGGTGTGGCCAGGGCTGGAATGCTGGTTGCCAGGGCCTGGGCAGCCCCGGTCCCTACCCCCATCCCATCCCCTGTGTGTTACAGGACGGGAAGGAGTGTGTGGTGAAGGAAGTGGTCCCTGGGGACAGTGTCAACAGTCTTTTGAGCATTCTGGATGTCATCACTGTGAGTGACCAGGGGGCAGCAAGGAGGCTGGTATACAATGCCACACCTGGTGGGCTAGTTGGAGAGAGGGTCCCCAACTTCTACGTACCTGGTGCTGCTGGTGGTCCCTC